CTCTCCTGTTATCATAGTGCCAAAACCAGACAACGCCGTAAGGTTCTGTGTGAATTACAGAAGGCTGAACAAAATAACTGTATCTGATCTATATCCAATGCCCTGTGTGGATGAACTGGCGGAAACGATTGGGGCTGCCTACTATATATCCACCTTTGATTTAACCGAAGGGTACTGGCAAGTGACTATGGATCCTAAAGCCCAGCCAAAAACTGCTTTTGTGACTAGGGAGGGACTCTTTGAGTTCACTGTCCTAGCCTGTGGTCTAAGGAACGCCCCAGCCACATTCCAGAGACTGAGTGACAAAATATTGTCAGGGCTGAGAGATTTTGCTTTAGCCTATATAGATGATATAGATATATTCAGCCAAACATGGAAGGAAAACCTCCACCATCTAGCCATAGTTTTCCAACAAATCAGAGATGTTGGACTGACTGTAAAGGCATCCAAATGTCAGTTCGCAATGAGCCAAGTGAAGTACCATGGGCATGTACTTGAAGGAGCAGAGATAAAGCCAGACTGGAGCAAGGTACAGGTAATTCACGAGTAGCTCAGACCCACCACGGAAAAGTAAATAAGAGCATTTACAGGGGTTGTAAGATATTATAGAAGGTTTATACCTGATTTTCAATGCAATCGCTGCTCCTTTATGTGAATGCAAAAAAAAAAACAAAAAAACATACCCAGTCACAGTATCTTGGTCCCTGGAATGCCAAAAGGCATTTGACCACCTTAAATCTGTTTTGACTACAGAGCCAGCATTGAGCCACCGATGCTTCAAATATAGGTATAGGGACCATGTTGAGTCAGTGTGCGAAGGCGGACAAGAACACCCCATCCTATACCTCAGTAGAAAATTGGTAGAAAGAGAACATCGTTCTGTGATCAAAACAGTGTGTTTAGCTATTGTGTGGGCCGCAGGTAAACTAAAACCCTACCTATGGGGGAGAAAATTACTCTGTGCACGGATCACTCACCACTATACTGGTTAAACCAAGTAAACACCATTAGCAAATTGATTCAATGGAGTCTGCAACTCTAAGATTTTAATTTTAACACTGTACATATTAAAGGTAAAGCTAATATCATAGCTGATGTACTCTCCAGAACAACCTAAAGTCTGAGTTTTGCTCACACACTTGGTGTATATAGACTGTTGAATGTTTACTGTTAGAAATGTATATGTAAGTTTAAAGTGTTTAACTTTTGGTATTAATCACTTACATACTTCACCCACTGCTATGGAGAGGTCAAGCCTCTTGAAATATAAGCGGAAATTTAAGCAAGCCTGGGTGCATTTCTGTATGGCGGTCTGAATTATGCCTCTTTGGTTCATTCTCCCATAGAGCTTTGCAGTATACCTGATGTTACCTTCTTTTATTCTTGTAAGCCAGGGCTGACCTGTTCCCTAGTATCCTTGGACCTCCTTTGTATAAAAAGATTAGTTTACATTTTTCTATGGTTATAATTTTTTTCTCAGACACCCATGGGTTTCCACAATGTGTTCTTGATGGATGAAGGTCTGTAGTATACGCTAATGCTTGTTGACTCAGGGGTTGCAGCTATATGCTGTTCTCCCATGTCGTCAAAACAATCTGCTGAAGGCTCCTAGATTCTCAGAATGAGCCTTGACATGTTAACTATGACTCTTTATCTGACACATAACATCCTTTCTTATCTATGGTATGAGTTCAGAGTAAAATCTTTAAGATATATTCTTCTGTTAAAATGTGCTAGCCTTATGTCAGTCATTTTGATTGAACCTATGGGTCCAGAGGGTATAAATTGTTAAAGATTTGTCTCCTCTGGGCTGGCCATCAATAGCTCCTTGTGATGCCTTGGTGACCAATCCAGAGCGCTCTGAGTTTCATACAAATGCACTATTTTTAGTATTGGGTTTGTGTTGAAATATTCTATGCTGAATATTGAACAGTTGTAAAGTGTTCTGGTCTTGAGCAGTTCTGTTATCTCTTTTCTTTTTAGCTAATAAATTAGAACAAAGTGCAATCTTTTGCCTTTGTCTTTTTACCCCTTGGGCTGGTCTCTCGTCAGTCCACATCTATCCCGGGGACCTGGGATTAATATTCCCCCCCAACACTTGATAGAACCTCACCTCGAGTAATGATCTCAAAAGGGGGTGACACATGTGATGGACTGTACCGTAACGGCAGGTTTCATAATGCAGCTGAATCAGAGAACCAGGAGATAAAGAGTTAACTTTTCCCTGGAAGGGAGAGCTTGAGTGACAGGCTGCTCCTCTTCTCTGACTGGCCAGCACCAGTGGAGGAAGATATATGATCAGCTGAGTGCTGACGGGAGTGGTCAGTTGTCAGTTTGGAGATTACAGTTTAAAATGGAACCATTCTGAAAGCAGTCAGTTGGTTTCTGACAGAGTTTTGAAGTCAGTGAGTCTGACAATATAAGTCAGTCAGGGTCACCTGCAGAGTGCGAGTCAAAGACTCCTTGCCTTAACTGTAGTATTCCTAACCTGAGGAATAATTCATTATAAGAATTCAAAGTCAAAAGTGAAGTCCGCTTTATACAGACACCAGAACTGGGAGGGAGACTTGGCAAGAGTGACCGGGGTCGTGTGTGGAAACTCCCTTTCAAGCCCAAAAGGAACAGGGTTAATTCCTCTGAGAAGCTGAAGAGTAACCCCTGCCCAGTGTCTCTGAGGGTTTAGCTCTGAGAAGGACCCTAGTCTGTTGTAAGAAGAAATTATTTTAAACAACTCAGGAAATAGGAATAAACTGGAATTTAACCAAGGAGTGAGTTAGGTTCACAAAGTCAGTGACCAACTCCAGGAAACCTGAACTGCCATAGGAAAACTCTCTGATGAAACACTGCTGTAATTAAAATATGAAGTAAAAGATTTCATACAACTAAGAATACCTGGAAATAAACTTTAATAACATTCGTTTGCCTGCTCAAAGAAGTGAATTCTGTGTTATCAACAACTTTTAACTCAGCAATCCCAGTCCCTGGCTCCCCTATTCAATCCCTGCCCGTTGAATACATTTGTTCTTTTATTTTACTGTTAAACCATCTCCAGTGCCATTTCAAAAGGGGAATACAAATAGGGCTCCTGCTTTTCCACAACAAATTCCTTGGGCTGGGCTTAAAGCCAAATTATATTCTGTGGGACAGAAATTCTTCCAAAAACCTTTACTATTTACACACAACCAAGGGCTGCTCAATCACAGCAGGGAACCAAAGAATTTTGGCGGGAAAGTTTGCACCAGTGTGGGGAGAGAGAAAGGGGTCCGTTATACTGCCATACACTGAATTAGAAAATGTGTCCATCAAGGCCAGTATTTTCTACTCAGACTCCAAGGTCTTAGAAAGAGGTGTTTCGTATCACCTACCTGGTCCTTTTTAACTGGAGATGCTGGGTACTGAACCTGGGGCCTTCTGTATACTAAGTATATTTTGTCCCCTGGAGGTGACAAAAGAGAGACGTGGCTGATGGCCTGCTGATTTTCTGTATTTGCCATACAATTGCAAAAAAATAAAACTGGAAGGGAAGAAAGTCAAAGAACCTACAATCTTGTGGATGGAGAAGAGATATCCCCAATGTCTAGACTGCCACATGGCAACAAGTAGGGCACAGGGCAACGTATTATCCTGCCACCCCACAGACACTCTCCCTGTTGGAGAAAGCATCTGAAGTAGGTCAGATGTCAGCAGCTGCCAAGGACATGCAGCCCCAAAACAGAGACTATGAACATGCTTGGGCACTGAAAAGCCTATCATGTGCCACACTGGCATGCCTTGAGGTCGGGGCTGGCACCACAGAAGGAGTCCTTGCTTTCACTGTCCTGATAAACCGGGGATTCTGGACCACGTGCCCTGTGAATTCAAGACGCACAACAAACCGCAGCTGGTACCAACCCAAGGTTAGCAAACAAATCTGAATTTGAAGCCCAGTGCTATGCCAACAGACAAACTCAACTCTGTGGTGCCATTGCATTTAAATGTTACAGTTAACCCAGTTTTTCTTTTTAATCCATCCGGAAGGGGCGATGCCACTTCTGAAAATGATACATTTTTGGTGTTGCTCTTTCCATCTAAATGAATGGGGGAACTCCTTGTGCAAGATGACCTTGGGACTATGAATTGGTGCTTTGTGTTCCCTGGGACCCAAAACTGTGGTCAGATGACTACACTAAAGCCTCTGAACTTCTGTGTGCCTGCATTTGTTTGCAAAAATGCATTTTGAGAGCTCTGGCAAACAGATCGCAACCCTCAGCTTAGCAAACTGATGACTCCACTCGGTCTTTTGTTCTGTTTTTTGCTCTCTCGAAACACAAAACTATTCCAAGAATTTTTTAAAAACCCTTGTGTTATTTGTTTTTGTTTTGTTTTTTCTATGTTAATACCTGATTTGATTACATGACGAGGAAGGGGGGGGGGGAATCCACTGGTCTGTGTCGCAAAATGATAAAAGTGGTACATCTTCCCACCCAACAAGTGTGCATATATGACTGAGACTTTTGGAACTCTGACCTAAAGCAGACTTCCCAATAAATTAATCAAACAAAAGGGAAAAAAGCAGGAAACAAAGTCCAAACAATTCTTTAAATCACTGTAAAACCTTCAGGAACTATTCTCTCTGTCCATATATATATATATATATATATTTGTAATTTCCTGGATATTTTTTAAAATAAAAATTTCTCTTTGAAAAAATAAAAAAAAGAAGTGCCAGTTTAGACTCCGATCTTGAGAGAACAGGTCCTTTTAGTTACTAATATCAAGGGCCTTGCATACCACCGCACACAAGAGCCCTGGAATTCAGAGGGTCATAGCAGCAGTATTGGGGAGGGAGGCGCTGGGGAAATCCTTGGCCTAGCATTTCCCCTCCTCCCCACCTTTTGAACCCCTCCTCCACTCTTCTGGGCTGGAGATCCTGGAGTTTTTTTGTCATCTTCTGGGCGTGGAACAGGGGTCACTGGGGGTGGTGGTGGGGAGGTATTTGTGAATTTCCTGCATTGTGCAAGGGGTTGGACTAGATGACCCCAGAGGTCCCTTCCAACTCTATGATTTTATGATTATATACCTTCATATAATGAAGGCTACAAAAGGACCGTTTGGCTTCCTCTCACCTAGCCTCCATCCACGGATAGAATGAGATGGTGCGTGGGGCTGCCACAGAAAACGGCAACTTGCATCAGGTTTCATCTTCCCTACCCCGCGAAGCAAGTTCTCTGAAGATTGGAGCCACAGTCCACAGAAGACATCTCACAGACTTAAAAGCATGCCCAGCAAGCACAGCCTTGTAAGACTAAATTAAAAAGTTCCCACAAAAAAGAAAATTAACAGAGATTGTTAACTAAATCAACCTGGTTTGAAAGTTCACAGCTGTGTGCTACAAAGTGTAATAATTGTTTCTTTTTCTTCTCTTTTTTTTTATCGGCCCATACAAAAATAACATATTGCAACTCAAAAGTGCATTTTTTGTTTTCGGTTTTTTTTCTTCCTTGTTTTTTTTAAAATAAACAGTTGACTATTTTTATCAAATAAAATATTTACACCATTTTGGTTTCCGGAGTCAGGAGCACTCTTCATGCTATCACCATGGGGACGTCATCTGAAAAACCCGTAATCATGGGCGCTTCGTCGTCCTCATCCCCTGGGAAATAAACATACAAATGCTAAAGAGACAAGGTTTTTGCAGTGGTGGTACCTTGTTTGGGGAACACATCCACAGGGAGAAATCTGCTTGGTGACTTAGAGTTTTGCTGCATTTTACAAGCCAGGTGTTTCAGGTCCACTGGACTTTTAGTTAATCCTGTTTTAAATCCCTTGTTATGGCCCACATTGAAAAATGATCGCAGGCTCCGGTCACACGGGCAGGAAACTGTGGGGGGGAAGCGTGGCTGTTTGCCCCGGGGCAAACTAACACGCGGTTAAGCGATCAGACCTCCTGTGGAGGTCCTGTGGAGGTACCGTGAAGGTTCCGTGGGTAGGGAGAGGTGCCGATCACAGGACATGCCTGCGTACAACGAAGAAGCGCGCGGTGCGGCAAACTGGTTTTCTTTTTTTGTGTACACGACAAATGTGCATGCTCCGTTGGGTGCGTGTGTGCATCCACGGAGACTTGGGGGGGGGGGAACCCTTTTTCGCAAGGGGACATGGGCGGGCGCCGGATGCCACCAGAAACGCGATCAGACGCCCGCCCTTGCCCTGCGGTTTCCGGAAACTAGTACCTTGGAGGTACTAGTTTTTTGCTGCGTGTTTTCGGCGGGAAGCCTCGGTTGTGCCACGGAAGCGCTACGCTTCCCAGATGTGCCGGTGAGATCGCGCCCGGAAAATCCGCCTGTCTTCCGTCTCTCTTGCGTGGCTAATGTTCCGTGTGACCGCAGCCGCAGTCCATCTTACTGCTCTTTGTTTTGATGCTATTCTGATCATTTTCGCTATTTCTAATCCATTTTATATTTTTACATGGTTGCTTTGATGTCATTATGATCTGAGCAGTAGAAAAGAGCAGGAGTCCAATAGCACCTTAAAGACATGAGTCACTGCTCACTTCTTCAGGTGAAGAATCATAGAATCATAGAGCTGGAAGGGACCTCCAGGGTCATCTAGTCCAACCCCCTGCACAATGCAGGAAATTCACAAATTACCTCCCCCTCCACATTTTCAGGGGCCGCTTTTCCATGCTCAGAAGATGACAAAAAAAACCTCCAGGATCTCCAGCCAAACTGGCCTGGAGAAAAATTGTTTCCTGACCCCAAAGTGGTGATCAGCATTTCCCTGGGCGTGTAAGAAAGTGAGCAGCGATTCACAAAAGCTCCTCCCCTGCCACAGATTTTGTTAGTCTTTAAGGTGCTCCTGGACTCTTGTTCTTTTCTACTGCTACAGACAGACGAGCATGACCGCCTGTCTTGATTATAATCTTCCGCTGCTGTTTGACGTTTTGTTTGCTTTTTGTCACCTGCAATTTTATGGTTGGGCTATTTTAGTGATCTTTGCCTCTTTTATCGATCGTGGTCTGGCAGTGAACAGCTTCAAGCATGAGACATAACAAAGTGGCTAATAAACACTATAAATAAATAATGAGGATGCGGGACAGCGATAGATGCCTTACACTCCCGTACATGCACCAAGCTCTTGTGTGCATAGGCGGCTGCATTCATTTTCAATGTGCACAAAGGAATCTTGGACACATTTTCTCCACTGGTAGTGCCATCATGGGAAACAAGAAAGTAAGGATATACAGCCTATATGCAGCAAGTGGTGCATGCCAATGGGACCTTCACTTGATCCCAGCCAAGTCCCTGATGCAGCCAGAAAACTACGCAGCTTTAAATTGGGATCAGTGGGAAAACAGGATTTGCTAACAGCATTATCTCATATGCTAAAGGAAAACGTAACTTTATATGGTATTGCCTGTGCAGCCGGAGTCTCTACTTTCACAAGAAGAAGAAGAAGAGATAGGATGTATACCCCGCCCTTCACTACCCAAAGGTGTCTCAGAGCGGCTTACAAACTCCTTTCCCTTCCCCTCCCCACAACAGGCACCCTGTGTGGTAGGTGGGGCTGAGAGAGCTCTGACAGAAACTGCTCTTTTTCAAGAACAGCTCTTATCAGAACTACGGCTTGCCCAAGGTCATCCAGCCAGGTGCAAGTGGAGGAGTGGGGAATCAAACCCGGTTTTCCCAGATTAGAGTCCGCGCACTTAACCACTACACCAAACTGGTATTATGACGGCACTGGTCATTTGATTTTCACTTTCTAATAAACTGTAGCTTGGAATTTGCCTTGTGCATCATCACGGCATACGAAGCCGATGTTTTCATTAGGCATGACATCTGCACCGGCTGTATGAAATTTTAGATTGTTTACGTTGGTATGTGCCCTAATCTGGGTAGCCCAGGATAGCTCGGTCTCGTCAGATCTTGGAAGCTAAGCAGGGTCGACTCTTGCTAGAATTGGGATGGGAGACCCTCCAAGGAAGGCCAAGGTCCTGATGCAGAAGCAGGCCATGGCAAACCACTTCTGTTCACCGCTCGCCTTGAAAACCATACAGGATTGCCCTAAGTCAATTGGGAACTGATGGCAAACAAAGAAAAAGAAACTATTTCTGTGTGGATGTTCCCCCGGGTGAGGTATGGGGGGGCGGGGCACATGACGAAGCCCCGCCCCCTGCTTCCGGCCACCCCGCTTCCGGCCCTCATTCAGCCAGGAGGAGGCAGGAGAAGAGGGAGGGTAAGTTGCTTCCTCCCTGCCTCTCCCCACCCCTGCCTGCCTGGGGCCAGGGAGGGCCTTCGCGGGGCTTCTTTGCACTCCCACAGGCCTTGCAGGTCCATCGCCGGGCCCCTCATGGGGCTCGGCAGTGGAGCTGCAAGGCCGGCGGCAACGGCCGGGACCGTTGGGGGCGGGGTGTGTGGCCTTATGACACACTTCCGGTGATGTCAGGGGGTGTGGCATATGCTAATGAGTTATGCTAATGAGTTCCCCTAGCTCTTTTTCTACGAAACGACCCCTGGTCCTGGGTACAGGTATAAGACGAGATCTATATTTTTTAACATAAGTGGGTATCTTCAAGATTTCCCAGGTGCAAAAGATGGCAGAGAGAGGAAGCACAATAACTTTCCAGGGAATCCACGACCACCCATGTTTCGTAAATGTTCAGAGTGGGCCATGAGAAGAGGGAGTGGAGCACATTACTTGCGCTCCCTTCCTCAGTGCAAATCTGCAAGGGTGCTGAAAACCGAAAGATCTGATTGCTGAAAACAGAACACCACAACCTGGCAAATCGTGACTTCTGCAGCATACTGCCATCCCACCATAGGGTGTTCTGGAAATTTAAAACTGATAAAATAGCTATAAATTTAAGACTGACGCTAAATCTCAACAGTTACAGCTTAGAGCTACCGATAACAAAGCAGCTCGGGCTCTACTGATAGCAGGAGCTCCTTTGCATATTAGGCCACACACCCCTTGTGTAGCCAATCCTCCAAGAGCTTACAGAGCTCTTCTTACTGGGGCTACTGTAAGGTCTTGGAGGATTGGCTACACTAGGGGTGTGTGGCCTAATATGCAAAGGAGCTCCTGCTACAAAAAGAGCCCTGGCTCGGGTAAAGCTAAACAGCTAGATAGAGAAAACAATTAAAATAGAACTGAAAATGGTAACACGTTTGCACCACGGAAGCACAAACCCAGGACAATTTATAACAAAATAACAACAAACCAAACATGTAAACGTAACACAAACCACAAAAAAGAAGAGAGAAAACTCCCTCCCGTAGGCCAACAGCTGGATAACAAATTAATTAAGCTCAGTGTTTTGCAAAGGGGAGGGAGAAATCATTCCAGCCGACCAAAGTCAGCCGCTTCGAAAGGAAAAGAACTACTCTCATAGGCTGCAACAAAACTATAACACACTACAGAACGAGAAAAGAAAAATCCAAATATGAAGCTAGGCTACAGTTAAAACAAACAAATTCACTCGGGGTGGAGCGCAGCTTGAAAATTTAAAACGGAAACTGTCTTGAGTCTTAAGAACATGGCACCACTCACCTAAATCGTCGCCTGATGAGAATATGGCTGACCCCAGACGGGAGTTATAGTGGCTGTTGGCGAAGGCCGTGAAGCTGTTCTGCAACCGCCTGTGCCTCATGTACAGAATGACAAACCCTGCGCCCACGGTCACTAGCAGGATGAATAATATGGGAACCACTATGGCAGCAACGTCTGTGGACTTGCCCATTTCAGAAGCTGCAGGATCTTCATCTACGGGAGCAGAAGGGGGAACAAAGAAAAAGGGAGAAACACAACTGGCAGTTAGCTGTTGTAGATTAGCTGTTGTAGATTTTCCGGGTTGTATGGCCGTGGTCTTGGCATTGAAGGACCTGACGTTTCACCAGTAGCTGTGACTGGATCCTCAGTGGTATAACACAGAAAGATGGAGTACTCTCTGTGTCAAGGTGAGACGAAAATGGTAGGCGGATAATTTATACCTATTCAGGAAGGTGGGGTAGGGTAATTTATATCAACTGGTAGTGATCGAGAAGGTTTCCTGACATATACTTGGGTGTTCAAGGAATCAAATAGGATTGAGATCATAGGGTTGGATCCAGACTAGATTTCCCACTAACCAAGGGATGAGGGTGAGTCCCACCAATTCTCTCCTCCAGCAGTGGACTCCTGATTTGACTCTCATAATATTCTTGAGGGTCCTGTCCCCCAAAAGCAGCATTTTGGGGAGATCAGTGGACTGTGATGGGGGGGGGCAGTTCTTCTCCACAAACAGTGCCCAGTGTGAGTGGAAAAACTGATCTGGATTCAACTTGAATATTGCAATTCTTAAAACACTGATACACACTCAATGGCTTAGGAGCCACATGTGGCTCTTTGACATACCCCCTGTGTTTTTTTTTAATACTGTTCCACAACGTGGCACCTGCCCCGTGTTCCAGGAAAGTGGGCAAGTGGGGCTTTTGGTTGGCAGGTGGTTCTCACCTTGAAACAGCTGCCGCCAGAGGAACAGGTGAGATGCAAGCCTCCCTGAGGTACGGGCCTCCTGTCAACATGCCTCTATTGTGGTTGATGGCAATTACCAACGTGGCTCCTCCCAAGCTGCACAGCGACTACCACGGTCTTATTTTTATTATCCACTCCTTTGCATGGACTGCGCCTTCACAGAACACTTTTCTCTGGCTTCTTCCTATACCGAGTTAGCAACTCTGGCAAGCCCAGAAGCAACCAATGAGGTGGGCCTTCCACCTTGATTGTCAGTTGGCCAGAAGGGAAGGAGACGAGTCAACAGGAAGGCTCAAATGTGCCTGGACCAGTGTTCCCTCTAAGCTGAGTTAGTGTGAGCTAGCTCACAGTTTCTTAGCCTCTGGCTCACCCATTTTTGTCTTAGCTCAGGGAGGATGGCCGCAGAGCAAACTAATTTATGCAGCAGCCAAATCGCTCACTCACAACTTTAATGCCAGTGGCTCAAAAAGTAGAATTTTTGCTCACAAGACTCCACAGCTTAGAGGGAACATTGGCCTGGACTGCTCAAACATTTCCAGGGACTGCCCAAATATTTTCAGGCAAAAAAGCTATGGGGAAGCAGAGGGAACCTACAAGAAGACCCTCAACTGGAAGGAGAACATGTCTTCCTTACCCATTCCTAGATCTGAGCCCAGTAGCAGCTTAGAGACCAGGGGGTCATTTCCTGCAGGAGCGCACAGGAGCGGAGCTCCAGCAGTAAGGAGCTCAGGGGGCGGGCACATGCAACAAGCCCTGCCCCCTGCTCCCAGCAGCCCTCAGTTGGGCTTTGAGGAGCAAGAAGCAGCCAGGTAAGTTGCAGAGCCCCCCCCCCAGCCCGCGTTCAGGTACAAGCTCTCCCTCCTCTGTGAAGACAGATCTGCCCATTCCCCCCCCCAATAGCTAGCAATCCAAAACAGTCCAGTGGCACCTTTAAGACCAAGTTTTATTCAGGCACAAGCCCTCCCTCCTCTGCGAGGACAGATCTGCACATCCCCCCCGCCAATAGCTAGCAATCCAAAACAGTCCAGTGGAGCCTGAGCGGTGGGTGTTGCCTTCTGACACACTTCCGGTGATGTCAGGGGGTGTGGCATATGCAAATAAGTTATGCCAATGAGCTATGCTAATGAGCTCCTGCACCTCTTTTTCTACGAAATGACCCCTGTTAGAGACTAACAAGATTTTCAGGGTACTCTCAAAAGCTCACCCCCCCCCCCAAAAAAATACTTGTCAGTTTCTAAGGTGCTACTGGACTCAAAACTAGCTGTTCTACAGGCCTACCCTCTGAAACTTACCCACTCCTAGTTCATCGTAAAGCAGCGTGGCAGGGTCCCCACACATCTGTCCACTGTAGAGGCATCTGGCTTGGACAGTGAAGGAGTAATTGTGGCCTAATTTCAGGTTGGAAACTTTGAAGACTGTCTCCGTCGTGTTCCCTAGATAGGCAGTGACATTCATCATTCGGTCAAACATGTGTACTTCATACCCCTGGAATCAGAAAGAGCGCAAGTCATTTCAGCCGCTTGGGTTTTTTTAGAAGAGAAGAAGAGGAGATTGAATTTATACCCAGTTCAGCGTCTTAACCACTTGAGACACCGCAGCTCCATGAAGTATGGACGGCTTCAAAAGGGAATTAGATAAACATATGGAGCAGGGGTCCATCAGCGGCTATTAGCCACAAGGTATAGATAGGGACTCTGGGGTAAGTGATGCTCTGTCTTCTTGGTGCTTGGGGGGGGGTCAACAGTGGAAGGGCTGCTAGTGTCCTAGCCCCACTGCTGGATCTCCTGATGGCGCCTGGTATTTTTGGCCACTGTGTGACAGAGTGTTGGACTGGATGGGCCATTGGCCTGATCCAACATGGGTGTCTCTTATGTTCTTATGTTAACTGGCATCCAAGCAAGATGCTAACTCACCCGACTTTCGCTGAAATGACTTTCTTTTAAGGCTAAGCTCTTCCAAAACAGCAAGATGTGATCGTTTTCTGGTATAATCTTTAAGGCTTCCGGAGCAGCCAAGGAAACTGCAAAAAAAAAGAGTGAGGGGGGAAGCAGCGGAAATGTTTCGGCAAAGCTGTCCCTTCCTGTCTATCTGGTGTATTCTTGTCCCAGCCTCCTTCCATGGAGTTCAGAGTGGTAGGCGTGGTTCTCCACCCTCCTTCCCAATGTCACCTCCCACTGTGAGGCTGAGAGGTGAGTGACTAACTCCAGGTCACCCATTGAGCTGCATGGGCTGAGCGGACATGTGAACCCGGATCTCCCAGATCCTAGCCAAGCGACACCACACAGACGATCTCACTATGTTTTCAGTGCATGCTATGAAAAGGAATGTACAAGTGTGGTAAGATACACAAGGTAGTCAATGCTCCCTTCTAAGATGTGGAGCCTTGTGAGCAAAAATTCTACTTTGCGAGCTCCTGGCATTGAAGTTGTGAGCAAGCAATTTGGCTGCTGCACAAATTAGTTTGCTCTGGAGCCGTCCTTGCCAAGCGAAGACAAAAATCTGTGAGTGGGAGACTAAAACACTGTGAGCCACACTAACTCAACTTAGAGGGAACACTGGCCTTGTCTTACTGTATTAGCTGGTAACTTTTAGATTTATTATTTTCCCTCATAGTCTTGTCTTTTAAACTTTTTTTTTTGCACCTTCATAAAATAATTACATTTTACTTGCTGTGGTTTTTGCCTTCATTGACCTTAAATCTAATTTCAGTGCTTTGATCCCGTGACCACCTACCAGGTGACTGTTTGGAAACCCATTCTGTGGGTCCACCCTGCAGGGTTGACTTTCTTGTTAAATTCTCTGAAAGGCTGGGAGACTTGCCCATTTGCTCCCGAGCTGTTGCAGAAGACTTTAATGGTCTGGTGGTAGCCTACCTTCTTAGTGTAAGGCAGGGGTCATTTCGTAGAAAAAGAGGAGCAGGAGCTCATTAGCATAACTTATTTGCATATGCCACACCCCCTGACATCACC